GGTTGAACACTTAGAAGATTTCGAAGCTGCTTTCAACGGCCGTATATCAAACGGGAAATTCCCCAACGGTTAGAAGATATTTCATCTAAGGAAAGCATTCAATGCTCATTTAATGAGCCTGATACGCTGTGGAGTAATTGCAGATGATTGACCGAAATTCCTGGAGAATATTATACAAAAATAGAAACCTGCCAAAACTGCGGGTCCAACCGGTCAACTCCACAGTATGCGCAATTAATGCAGTTGTCTCCTCCTCCAACGGGCAGACAACCTCAGTATAAAAGGATACTCATGAAGAACAACCGGAGAACTTCGCTACAATTTTTGCTCTCTACAATCATTCTACAAGCTTTCTTGAGAATCAACCCTCAAAACCTTCTACAAGAAAAAGCTTACGTTGGGAAGACTAAATATTCAAATCTCTCAAACCCAACCAAGAGCAAAGTTCATCCAGTTCTTCATCACTTCAAGAACTTCAACTACATATCTTTTGTAACGAAGCAAGTTGGAGAAAACTCTGTTTTTCAGAACATCTTCTGCAAAGAAGGGCGTCCAAGTAACTGCAGTAGTGAAGTGGTGATACTTCCGGGAAGCTGAGTGAAAGGACCAATCATCAGGAAGCAGGATTGCATCCCGGGTGACAACTAGACTTGAAGAAGGCGTGGAGAACTTCTTAAGTGCTAGGGAACTAAGGCTGTGTAATCTGTGACTTTTACAAGCTTAGTGGAACAGTGGACTAGAGGAACGCGTTGTTCCTTGAACCACTATAAAAACCCCGGTGTCATTTACTTTACTGCACCTTAATTTCTGCACTTAGGACTAAACTGTTTAACTCCATAGAACTTGGACTCTGTGTTCAGCAGATCGTGTTCTCAGAGTTATCAGAAAGGCATTTGCCTTAGTTTCTCTTGAGGCTACCCGGAACTCTTATCCGCTGCAAGACCAGTTCTGATCATCAGAACTCGACCCTCTCTGATAAGTCAACTCTGACTTAGAGAAAAGTTGAAAAACTTGTAACAGTCTATTCACCCCCCCCCCTCTAGACTGTTACCAACTTAAACGGGACCAACAGAAAGAGCAACGAACGAGAACAGAAAATTAGCGATTTCCGATACAGAGCCCGAGATGTCTTACCGGAAAGACCGTCACCACCGGCACACGCCATAGCAGAGGCTTGTCGCCTGCTCAAGCTCACCCCCGTCCCCAGGTCTGAGCTGAAGCCGCTGCCAGGTACAAGCTCCTCTGCCTCAACCCTGACAGCGTCGCGCCTGGCCACTGCGCCACCGCATTGGTTTCTGGGCTTGAATGACTCAGCCCCTGGAGCTTAACATTAAGAGTCCGCCATTAATGGTCGATTGGGAAGCTCCGTTCTCGAGCCAGAATCCAACCTAAAGAGGCGTAAGGACACCCCAAGCTGAGGAATCTGCCGGTTAAGGAAGCCCCAAGTCCGTGCTCCGCCGCGAGGACAGCTCGCGGTCGCAACCAGAGCTCTACACATCCCGTGATGGCAAAGGCAAAACCAAGAAACTGTCTGGAAAGTTCATAAAAGAAAACAATTAGCAAAGAGCAGAGATGGGGAATCGGGAATCTGGGATTTCCCAGAACTGGCTGGAGCAACCGTCATCCCACAGCTGTGTCCCAGGTCGCGCAGCCCTACACTGCGTCCCACTCCAAAACATTCTTGCCGCCAGCTGGCCACCACTTCCACGGATCTCGCCGACCACCGTGAATCACCGGCCATAGTTTCCAGACCGGGTCTTCAAGTTCTGGATCTAGAAAAGGCAAGCCTTGCAAGTTCAGCTCCTCCACCGGACCTCATCGTACATCAAATCAGTAACGCATAGGCCTGCAGCTCACTCTGGGCTCCATCATGGACGCGGCACCGTCGCTCGCCGCCCTTTTCTCTACCCGCTCGCATCACCCATACTCTCCCACCTCGCCCGCCATGTTGGGGCCGTCCTCACCAGTTGGTAGCAGCTACAAAGATTCTTAAGAGAGAAAGGTGACAGGCTGCCTCTTGGTCACTTGCCAGCTACTTGCCGGCCACTTGCCAGCTAATTGGAGCGTTTCGTAGACCTGGCCAAAATTATTAGGCGGAGCAGCTCACTAAGGAATCAGGCCCAATTTCAGCCCAAAGGAATCAGCTGGATATTTTTCAGCCCAATCAGTCCATTATTTCAGCCCACTTCAAAAAGTTGGGTAATCTTTAATTTTTATATTATTTAAATCATTTTTTTGTCGGGTGAATGTCACACTATCACGCACTTATGATCAAATGCCTAGTAGAGTGTGGCTTGAGACCCATCACTAGGATTTAAAGCCCTGACTCTCAGGCACAAAGCCCTGACTCTCAGGCACAAAGCCCTGACTCTCAGGCACGAAGACCGGTCTTAGTCATTCCTCGAGTGGCGATCGTTGCTTATGAATGGCTCACACATCCACTCTACTAAGTATTTTATCATTACATTGACAATCCACATTTCCACTATTTTCAAGTAACGAACTCCCAATCAGAAACATAAATCCCAAGAAAAAGATTTTATATGTATGATAAATGTGTAGGTACAAAGATGACTTTACTCATTTTCACCTCGTCTCCACTCGCCTCAAGGAGTAGGGGGCTGAGGGGTCAAAGTTTCTAGATGAGCAAAAAATATCATGCATGAGCAGGAACGAAAGATGAGTCAGATGAAGACAGGTTGAGCTAGACAAAAGTGATTATGCCAGAGGGGCCTACCTTCCTTGTTTTATGTTGGGGGCGCTAGGTGTACTCTTTTTCCCTTTATTAGGATTTTTTCCCACTGGGTTTTTTCCTATTAAAGGTTTTTAACGAGGCACCTCCCCATCATGGACAAGGGTGGTGGTCCCCCAGCCGAAGAGGAAGAAATCAAAGACAGAAGAACGTTGCAGATACAATTGTGGACTACTCCCTTTCACCTCGAGTACTCTCGGCTCAGGGAGTGGGGGACTCCTGGTGGATGGAGTATATATGGATTCAGACCCCCTGGTCTGCTGACTATTGGGTCTGGACAGCGGCCCACACACGTTTAGCGGATTCTTATTATTGTACATTATTATTATTATTCAGATGTTCTAGATTAGTTTTTTATACTATCAGTCCATTTATGTAACCGGGTCTGTTAGGCCCATATATGAGGCCCAGACCCGGATTTTCCCTATATATACTCCTTATAAGAGGCTTGTAAACAAAACTCACAATTCATTCAACATAAACATTCTTCTTCTCCTTTACTCTTCTTGATTATTGTTCAATCTCTCCTTAGTTATAGGATATGGGTATCAATTATCTAACACACATGAATAGAACTTATCAAATGGTTTCTCGGTAGGTAGGCCAGTATTCTCTAAAATACCTATGTGACCATCATGAATTATAGGAACTCATAATTGTGAGATCAATTAATGGGTTTGACCATTCAAACATCCAACCAAAAACATTGTTTGGCAAACTACTGATTTACTTGGTTGATTGACTCCAATAAATTGAAAACAAAAACGCCACATAGGACAACGTCTTACTTTAGCCGATCTGCTCAAACTCTTTTCTACCCTTTGCCTACTCAATATTCAAAATTCACATACCATAATAGTAAATCCATCTCTCCATTCCTATAAGAATTGTTTATTTTAGTTATCTATTTTTTGGATGGAAATCTAATCATCAAGTGTTTTTTCCCTTAACTTGTGGATCGATCTATCACATCCATTTCTCCATAATTCTTCTTTGTATATTCTTTCTTTTTACTAGTCTCATATTAGTAGAATGTAAAAAATATTTGGCTCCTGCGCTTATGCTAATAGGATATGCAAACATCTAAGAAGCTTGTTTTCCATCTGCGTTTTTCATTATGGATTTTTCAGTTCATAATGCTACTTGGTTTATTTAACTCCGCCATGAGATCAATTTTTTGGTTTCATGTCTGTCCCAAGCCAGAATAAAGGAGGAGGGTGTTGTGATAGACGTGTGACGGCCTACAGTATCACCTACTCATATCACATGACATGGATCGAAATATGTTGTAATGCTACTTGGTTTATTTAGGAATTAGGATTCTAGGATGTCTCTCTGAGGTAAATGGAAAATTTGTTACAAATTGTTTCAAAGGAAAATTTCGTGCTGCTTAGCCAACAGGCAAAATCAACGTGAAAATAAGAAGGCTAAACAATATTTATTTATTGAGTCCAATATATAAAACGTCGTATTTTTCAATAAATTATTTAACTAACTTCCCGATTAAATTTTAAGCTGAAATTTTGAACATTTTTTTAAAGCAAGTTAACATGATCAACCAATCAAAACAACTTAACTAATTAACTATTAGCAAGACATTAACAGAATCAACTCTGACAACTAATGGCTAACTCTTGATTGCCAAATAAGACTATATCCATCCCATTGTAGCCTCCGACTATTCACTCACTGTATTCTTTCCCATCGAGTCGATTAATAAATACTCCATCTATTCCTTAAAATTTTCTAACTTTTCATTTTTATTGTCCCACTAATTTTACCACTTCCGTTTTAGTAAAGAATTTGTGGTTCCAGTTAATTCTCTCTGCTGTGCATAAACCTGAATCGCACAGTTTTTACTTAATTAATTCTCCTGAATCAAACTTGGCAAAAATTTATGGAACGGAGGAGTAAGTTTCTCTCTTTTTTGTTATTCAATTCATTTATGACTCCCATGAATTTTCATTAATTAAAGCTTAATCATATGACCAATTTTAAGGGTTCGGGTTAGTCCATTAATTCTAAAAGCTTCCCACAACAAGAATTAAAACACTTCTCATTCTAAACATGTTCTTAGTTTTTAAAACACAAAAAACAATGTAGAAAAGAGAAAATATCTTGAACGAGGTCTTAACTTTTATCTTCTTTTAAAAAAAAATTCTATCTTCTAGTTTTCGATTGTTTAATTTTCAACTAGCTTTGAAAGAAAAACTGGAATATCCAAAATCTCACTATCAATACCTCAAAAGGGCACAACAATCCCTTTAAATCACAAGTAGCCTAATACCTTGAAGTTTATGGTATTGCCCACACAAGTAAAGAGCAAAAATAATAATCAATGTGGATTTAAGTATCAATTTATGAGAAAACTAATAATTTGAGTCTAATATGACTAGGGTAAATGTTTATTGCACATTTGCACTGACTAACAATTGTGAGGGAGTAAGCTTATAGCTTTCCCATTTGGGCACTGGACTGAACAGAGAGAGATTAAAGGAAATAAAAATATGTAGCGAAAAGATGTAAACACACATTCAACCTGAGAAGATGTACTACCGGAGTAATTTGCTTGTGCTGCAAAAACCAAAACCTCACTCCCTCCATGTGAGTATGTGACTATAATTGATCTCACTGCATATGCCCAAAAGCATTTCTAGGAGGATTGTGTCCCCCTCCCCCGTCAGAAACAAAGTATAAGGCGAGAGTCTTTCACCAACAGGATGTAAAATAATTTCCTGTAACTATTCATGTTTGGGCTGAAGCAGTTGTGCTGTTTGCAAAGGTGTGGAATCTGGAGGAGACTTTCGGAGAATATTTAACATTTTCCCCCGGTTTATTTCCTTTCCTACAACAAAAAGAAAAGACAGTTGTAGAAGCATTCTATTTGGTTGTAAAGATAGTTGCAGCTGCATGTTCTATGTTAGTTTTGAAGGATAACAAGAACAACCTAAACCATATGCCGCAAAAACCAAACCACTAGCTCTCTTCTGATTTCTAATTGATGTTATAGTAACCTCAGTCAAAGACATCAAAATTAATGTGGAATTATTAAATCAAGTAGTCTTAGATATGTTTCTTGTCCTTAAAAATATAGCATTTTCTAAGTCTCTGTAGTAAAATGATATTGATATTCATCCCCATAAATTTACATTATTTTCTTTTTGGTCCATCATCCTATCAACGTCAGTTTAAAAAACATCTGGCTTTGTAATTTTTATAATGTTTAGTACGTTATTCCAAGGGGATTACTGAATTTTAGTTAGCCCTAAATTAAAAGTGAGAATAGTAAGTTTCATTTAGCCAACTCCCTAACAGTTGACATTGAGTTATAGAAGGTTTGAGTAAAGTTGTTATAAGCCATATAAAGTTTTGTGAGGGACACCAGCTTTTTTATTATGCGAAGGTTGAGAAAGATGAACAAAGGATAACAATGTAAAATTCAGTGAAGAATAACAAAAACAAGATCTACAGGGGCCTAAAGCAAATACCGCTATATGTGCAGGGGCGAAAAGCATATTAAAGCATTATAACCTCTATGAAAATAAGGTTCAATTACTCAATGGTGAGAAAATGAGATAGTTTTGGTATACACAATGAAATAACACAAGAAAGTTGTGCAAGGAGATGCAAATTTATCACGCCAGCTCCACACTAAAACTGGAGATACAAATATCAATAAGAAAATCTTCATATAAGCAATGGTAGTGTATTACCTTCATCTATCACCAATTGGATGGCCCTTTTTTCCAGATCAACAGCGTGTCTGCTGAGTTCACTAGGGGATAGACGTAGAAGCACTGCAAAGGATAACCCAGGAGCACAGTTCTAATAATGACTAAAAAGAAGCAAACAATAATAATAGTAGTAATAATAGGGGTATATAATAATAATGATAATAACAACAACAAAAACAACAATAACAATAAACACGTAAACGGAAACCTACTCTGAGTGTAATCGCAATAGCTAGACTCATCACACTTCTTCAGTAATTTATGGAGACGAGCAAAACGTTCTGTCCGGAGCTGATCATCAGCCACCTTGAACTCAACTGAATGAGAGTTATCTGAGATAAACTTATGAGCAGAATCAGCTCTCTCAAACAGTGGGGCCGTATTAGCCTTGCCATCTAAAAGGGAAACTTGTGCTCTACTCTGTGAGTAAGTGATATTATTATAGGGCATAGTTATAGAGGCATCGCTGATATTGTTCTCCTTCGATTGATTCGGCATCTGATGAACATCGTTACGCTTTGGAGGTATTAAATCTACATATTTGTCTAAATCGTTTTGGACTCTTCCCCTACCCAGTTCTAATTCAAACCGTCTCCGAGCATTGATTATATGCTCACTTGCACCATTACTGGCTAATGACATGTGGCAAACGGGACTTGAAGGGCTCTCGGGTGTGAGCCTCTTACTGCCGCAAACTCTTGTTCCATCTGCTCCAAGTTTTTTGCCCAATATTAGTGAACTGTCTCCAAGTTTAGTTAACTGCCTTCCATTTTGATTTTGTAAGTCTTTTAAAGCAGTTTTCTTTGTAGCACCAGCTAGCTGTTTATCCAAAAGGGTTTTACCACTTCCCCTGCCGGTCACCCCGTTACTTAGCTGAGAATTCACCATATGTGGCACCGAATGAGTTAACAAATAAAAACTATTGAGTTTTTGAGCTTCCTTTCACTGAACACACGGGAAGAAAACAAGACATCCTATTACCCAGTCCTTTAAATACTCCTTAAAAGAAGAGATGATTGAACTACAATCAAATAAATACCTGGCGCTGAATTCACAAAAAGCAAGCAAATTACTCTAAAATGTTTTAAAAAATGAATTATTACTGGAATTTGTTAATCAGGGGTAAAAGGACAAAAAACCACACATTTTTTTTTATGTATTTTGAATTACAATAGCCTCAGACCACCGTGGAGAAAATTGACATCAATTATCCAGACAGACCCTAGCTAAACGGGGACAAAAAAACCTACTAACAAACACGCTATGCACGACCTATCCAAATCCTCCAAAATTCCGAAATTGTAGCTGAGAATAAGAAATAGAGCTTGTGCATTTCAACTCACAAACAATATATAATTACGTAAGCGTACAGAGGCGTGTGTTACACATGGAGCCCAGACGGTTTGCGCAGACAGATGAAAAAGTGTACGAGCGAATCTCACAGCTGTGAATCCGAAACTGATAGAGCGGCGTCAAGGTGAAGGGGTTTCAAAAGAGGTGAGTTTGGCTCCAAAAGAGGGGTTACAAGGATAATAGCACTTCTAGTTCCTTAGTCCGTAAATGTCACCCTTAATTGTTCAAATTGTTTAATGTGATCATTCGAGGGTTGAATTGTACAACATGAGCGGGGAATACATTTCACCTCTCAAAGAACCATATTTACAACAATTTGAACAATTGAAGGATAACATTTACGATTTATGAAATACGGGTCTGACATTTCAATTTGGTGACTATTTTGTGGACTAAAAGTGCGATTTTCCCTAGTTAAAAATGTATAGTAGTTTGTATCTACTTAAAAGTTCACTACAATAAGTTTTGAGCACATTATTTAAAAATGAAATAGTAGAGATAATGAATTATGTAGAAAAAGTAAAAGAGATGGTGAAAAAGTATGAAAGAAAAAAAAAGTGTATCAAACTTTGAAATAGGAAAGGATTATCAAATCGCTCCAAAACCCAAATAAAACTTCATTTCTTCCAAAAGAAAACTTTTAAGCACACCCTAGGGTGATTGAGAAAGAAACCGGCTTTAATGACGTTATGTTTAACTAGTTAATTGCCCGTGTGTTAGATACAGATGATGAATGAAGTTATTTTTTCCCGAAAGTAATTTGCCTCCTTATAACGTGTATATGCATACTTATATACTCCCTCCGTCCCAGGGAGAAGTTCTCACTTTCCTTTTTTGGCAGTCCCAACAAAAAGTTCCCATTTCCCTAAATGGAAAGTTATCCTACATCAAAACAGTGTCAAACAGTGCCAAACAGTGCCAAACAGTGTCGAAACAGTGCCAAACAGTAAAATTTACCCCTCAGTAACTTTATTTCCTTAATATGTGTGAAAGTCAACCCGAGAACTTCTCCCTGGGACGGAGTATAAGTTAAAACATAATATAAAATTGCAAAACGAGTGTGTATGTATAGTACATACTAGCGATGCTTTGCGCTAGGCGCGAAATTTTATGCCCAATCTAGTGATAATATTTTACTCCCTCCGTTCCCAAAAATACTTCCCACTTTCCTTTTTGGGCCGTTCCCAAAAATTCTTCCCACTTTCCCTTTTTGGACAATTTGTGTGGCTCACATTCATTTTACTTTTTTCTCACACAACCACAACCACACATTTCCACTTTATTCCACTTTCTTAATAGGCGTGCCAATTCAAACCGGGAAGAATTTTTAGCAACGGAGGGAGTAACATTTTAACATAATGAGTCTATTTGGTGATCCTATTTTTTAGTTCATAGGTCAACTTTTTCATCAAACATGTAACATTTGATTTTGCGCGCTAAATTCTGTAATAATAAGAAAAAGTAAGGTTGGCTGAAGTTACTGTAGAGAATCATTTTAACTATTTTTCATATATTTCTTTCTTTATTTTATTATAAATGATATTTTAAATATAATTTTTTCATAAATCAGCAGAATCAACCAATCCAATCACTTTAACCAATTGTTCATTAATTTCACCACAATCAGCCGATTCAACCAATTTCTGTGATACCAAACGGGCTCTATGTTTAGAAAAAGCATTAATATGAGTTTTTGTATCTTAAACTAAATATGTTTTCCTTTTACGATAATCAATATTTTCAATATTTCTTGGCTATTTTTTAAGCTCATCACCTTTTCTTACTCTTTATCAATCAATAAACGATAGTATTAATTTATAAAAATAATTATTTTTCCAATTTACCATTACATTTTTTCTAAGAGAAATATCAATTCGATGTTGTGATTTAAATAGATTTCCGATTTGATCAATATAAAAACGTCAAATCTCCAAACAACATAGGTATCATAGTATCAATGAAGTCTATTGATGAAAACAAAAGGCCTACAGTTACAATGTGAACTTACATCTTACGTTAAATTACTAACGGCTTAATGGCAGTTTTGTTCCTTAAAAATAACGGTACAACACATTGAATTTCTAAAAAAAATATAACCATCAATGATGGTTAGGGCATTTTAGAAATGATAAAATTGTTGGTTGTTTAAGCAAGAACTCGCCGGTCTAATCAAACAATAAAAATAAAGATTTTGTGGGTTTTGTGCAAGAAGATACTTTAAGAATCAAGAATTAAGATCAAGAATATTATTGTAATATTGATGTGTGAACAAGAGTGTTCAGAGCTTCTGGTTTCGAATGCCCCTTTCTCTTCTCGAGGTGTCCTTATTTATGCTATTCCGCATGCTACGTTCCTGCTAAACTACATGGTAAGTGTTCTTAACAAGGAAACAAAATTAATATTTACATTCAATTCTTATAGCTATTCCTCTAATTCTATTTCGGCCAGCATATATGACATGTGTGTGCGATACTTTCCATTCATGCATGCGTCTAGACGCATTCATTCTAGAGTGTTCCAGATATGGTTTGTGGGCCAGCCCATACGCGTGTGCTACTTGCCTGTCCATCGTGGGCCGGTTTAGTTGTGGAGTAATCCAGGCCCAACAATTGCCCCCAAATTCAAAGAAGGAGATGGCGTTAGCCCTTATTTGCTTCTTTAAATTTTGAATTAGGCCACTTTGCCGCGGAAAACGGAGTAACCAAACCCCTCAAATATCCAACTGACCTTGTCATCACGGTCATTCATCATAGCACTTCGTCTTGTCAAACGCATCGCTTCGCTTCTTTGATACGCTTGCCACCGTCTTCAGTCACGACTTCTCACAGTTTCATCCCTCAACACATCTTCGAGCCAAAAAGCTCTAAACAGGCGAGGCTTACCGAGGCGCAGGTTGACTTCATCCAGACCTCCTCCAGGTTCCCCGTTGATGCATCCATTCGTTTCCCTGCCGCGAATGAGAGGTTTGATTGGTCATGCCCTGGATGAGTGAATTTTGTGTTCTACCCGTTCAAGATCGGAATGAAGTTCCCATTCTCTCCCCTGACCCGAGGTTTCTTGGAGTTTGTCAATGTATCTCCTTCCCAACTGATGCCCCAGGTCTGGCGGACTTTACGTGCTCTTGAGGTTCTAGGAGAGAGGCACAATATAATATTCCCTTGGAGTTCGAGGATCTCGGGTTTACGTATGAGCTGCGACCCTCTAGACCCGAACGCTTTACTTTGGCGGTGAAAGGCCAGAAGGAGAGGCTCATCCATAAAGTAGACAAAGTCAATGATATGGGGTGGATGAGTTGGTATTTTTATGTCAACAATGCTTCGCTTGGTGCCGCTGGGTCTATTCTTGAAGACAATCTGCGAAAGGGTAAGTCGGTCTCTGATTCTACCCTGGTGTTTCATTCTGATGCATATTGACTTTTCATGTTGTGATTTGTGCTGAATTGTCCTCCTTTTGGATTTCCAGAGAAGAAAACGGTTTCTATTCCTTATGGGTTAAAATCTGAAGAGAGGACTGCGAAGATTTTGGCTATTCCCATGAAAGACCGTCTGTTCGTGAATTTAGTCGCTGAGTCTACAGGTATGCCTTTTGATCCCATCCCTGGTAGGCATATCGGGTTAAGACGTTCTCGTCGCAATGTTAATCCGCTCCCTGAATTGATTCAAAGCTCGTCTGTAGTGTAACACCCCCAAATTTCCCGCCCAAAAACATTGATATGATTGAAATAAAACTGCGGAAATAATATTAAATGGGAAATGGGTGTTACCGCCACATCCGGTCATCTCTCAACCGGATGCACAGGCAACTAAAACAAAACAATAAAACTAATTAAATAAATAAATGTTTATTTCAAGACTAAATTTGACTAAGGCAACTTCTAACTCGCTCTCAGGCGCATGCATTCAGCAATCAACATAACCATCATCACCTGCACAAATATCGTGCAGAAACAAAACAAAGAAAGAAAACAAAAATTAGCTTTAGAGCTAAGTAAGTACTACCCAACCCCGTAAAATAATCAGGTTTGGCAAAAATAGATTTTTATATAATACTATATAAAAATAACACACTCCATAAAAATTCTCTTCTTCCTTGATCATCTCAAAAATCACTTCTTCTCTAACTTCCTAGTAATTTAGAAGGGCGGTGCTCAACCTTTCGACTGAGCCCGGTGGACCGTGGTTACGGACGGCCACCCCGAACAAGTGCCGGTACCACAACTGCTCTTGTGGAAACGAAACGACTACCTTAAGTGTGCACACCCCCTAAAAGGGATTCCAAGCCCTCCGAGTAGTAAGTCGTCACGAGTAATCGGGACTCAGTCTACCAACTACCCCACCTTTAAAATTCTTGAATGATTAGGGACTACTACTACTATAACTTCTTCTTAAAAGGGATCATAGATCCAAATGTTACTTCAAACTCAAACTGTACTTCTTAGTAGTAGCAACCCTAATCACCCTCCACATTTATCCGGATGTGGAAAACCGACACCGCGGATTTCTCCCGCGGTGCTCACCTCTTATAAAATCTTTACTTTTATCTTGAATATACTTCAAAAATACTTCTCAATCTCTCTAATTAGTCTCAAAGGTATTTAAAAATATTTTAATACCCCAAAAAGAACTCTTAATTTGTATTCCTCAAAATCACATACTCATAATTCACAATTCACACTTAATCACATAATACATAATAAGCATATAATACGAGGAAACAATTTTGGATTGGCAGAGAAACTTACCTCAAAGTCACGCTTTTGCTCTAACTCTACTCGAAATATAGTTCACGTCTTCAATGAATTCGCCAATCTCTCCTTTAATATTATCAATGTGCGAAAATTAATAACTACTCTATTATTGAATTTGATTAATTTGGTTTATTACTCTTATTCGAAATAGTTAGCACTAATTGACTATCAAATTTAACTATATAATTTAAGTCTTTATTAATAAAATTTTCTACTTAATTTTATCGAAGTGCTTACTATCAATTAATCAAGCCAATCTTACCATTAATATTTCTCATCTCAAATTTATCAATTTTGCAGATTATTATTATCATTTTTAT